TCCATATATGTTTGAATATTCTCCCAATTCTTTAATATTCTCACAGTTATGTTAAATTCATAAAACTTTCCGCCACTTAATGAGTTTAATATTTCGTTTTCAAATGAACATATTTCCTAAAATATTTAAAAACATTTAAAACATAATGAATTATACAATTTTTAATTTCAAGTAAATTATTAATACATTACTGAATCCAAATGCAATTATTGATAAATTACTTGAAATATTTCCCATTACTGTATCACCAAAGTTATAATTTTTACAGCGATTTATTTGTGATATAAACAAATCAGTCATTATATTTTAAAATAATAATTTACCTATTTTATATAAATTTTACGATTTATATAAACTTGTACGATTATAAATGTTTACTTTAATTTAAAATTAATTATATGACATGATGATTATTACAATAAGTAAATGTTGAAGGCAAATTTAATTTCCATTCTTATTACTAATTTAATAAATAATTATTTTTATGATAAGTATTTTTAGTTACTAATACATTTGGCACTATAAGTTAAATAAATGCAGTAGTATTTGTGAACTGGATAATGATGTACTCAACATAGTACTCGAGTGTTAACTTGTAATTATACTACAATTAACAAAAATGTACCTGATAATTTCTCACACGAAAAATCATTATTGATTTACACATTATAAACATCTATATTTTTGTATTCATCAATACTCGCACAGGTATATGATAACAATAGAGAATTGAATTTACTTTATTTTATATTTATTTTATAGTACTAATTTATTTTAATTTAAATAGTTAAAACAATAATAGTTAACACCATAGTAAGTGATAAAATTAACTACAAACACGGTATAAATATTAAGTATTTACATAGGAATATACTCAGACTTTTGTTGTATAAAGCTCCCAATGATTGTATTTATTGTTTTTATACTTTATTAACAATATAAACATTTTTTTATTAATAAATAATTAGCATAAATACATTATAAATAGAAAAAAGAAATATTTCATAAATTATAATTACAATTGTGAATACTGTTATAAAAATAATTATTTTGTTAACTAGATAATTACCGTGCTTTATTTCATATTTTATTGAATAAAATATCTATAAAAATATTTTGAAAAATAACAAATTGTCTACGGAGCTTGTAAATGTCATACCCATAGAAAAATTAATAGAAATTGACAATAGCGAGCTATTTACAATCTTATTGCTATATTATAATTAGATAATTTATAAATCTTCTAGTAACAAATTAATAACAAAGTTCATCAGCAAAATAACATTTTTATATAAAATAAAATAAATAATCATGCATAACATTGTTATGGATAATAATTTTTAAAAATTATTTTGTTAGTTTAAATATACAACTAAATAAGATTGCTATTGCTATTTATAAAATAAAATTGCAACATTTTTATTAAAAATCAAATTATTGAATCTAGTCACAATAAAATGAATTTCATTTATTTAGCCAACTGTTGAGTTTGACATAAATACAGGTTTCACTTATGTATAATTATTACATCTATTGTATAGTATTACAGTATAATATTATGTACTCTATTATAAAAATATTATTCATATTAAGCAAGCATTGGAAATAAATATAAATTTTTGTGAATAAAATATTTAATTATAACATACACCTATTTTACATTTTATTATCACACATTGCAGGTGTAATAAAACAAATATACAGAATAAACATAATATTAATATAAAGTAAGTATTAATTTGCTAACCAAATAAAAAACACTATTGTTAAAAATTATTCTCATCATTGTATCAATAATACAATTCAATATGTATTTAATTTGCACTAATAAATCAATATTCAAAAATATGATACATTAGACAAACATAGAGAAAAGCATATCATTTTAATAATTGTTAAGATATTGAGTGTATGTCATATTCACAGATTTATGATCAAATAATATGATAAAGTTGATAATTATTTATCAGATTATCTTATATTGTCTTGCTTATTATGCTTATGGCTTAAGTGTCTATTCGTGGACTTTGTCGGGTAGGATGTTGTGTCAGGGTAATGCAACACAGGCCCAGACTCAGGCCCTATTGAAGTGCGACAAAATGATGAGACCCGAGGTCCTTTTTGAAACATAATTTCTAAAAACTTTTCACAAATATTTACTTTATTTTGAATAAATAGCGAAAGAAATTACTGGAGATATGTCTGAAGGAAGTCAAAGGCTATACTCTGACAGATAATAAGCCCCACATTTGCTCCTACAGTCAGAATGAGGACGGGTATCAGGTATGGCTTAAATAACAAATGTTTTTTGTTAATATTGATATATCATATTGATTATGGTTTATTTGTGGAGGTTATGGACTGTATGTTCAATAAGACCGGTAAAGTCTACGGCAAGAAATTCATGGCTAATGCTGTGGATGAGGACTTCGATGCCATCGATGCCGTCGAGAATGACTTCGAGGTAATCGTCTGTTTACAAAATAAAATGTAAAACATATGACAGTAATTGACTTTAATTTTTATACTACAATTAGCTGCTCCCATTCAAAATAAGTTTTAAATAATTATCAATTATGAAAATATTATGAAAACTAAATTACAGTCTTTTAGATTTATGTTACTATTCTATTTTATTTATATTTAATAATTTTAATAATTATTTTCAATTTATTTTCTACATTGATGAATTAATGGCAAAGTGGTGTGTGATGAAAGTGGGCTCAATCTATGGCTTTGAGCACTTGTGTGACAGTCAACTGAATGCCAACCAAAACAAGGCTATCCAGGAGTGCGGCAAAAATGCCACCGAAGTATGCATTCATAGCAAACATATTATTACTATTAATAGTCTATTATTTAAATCTAAATTATATTAACGT